GTCTGACATGAGGTGGAAGAGGGCGGGGCTTTTCAGAATGCTTCTTTCAACACTGCATGTGTCATAATAACACAGTGGGCGGAGCTTATTTAACACTGTCCAGTGTTGAGACAACACTGAGGAAATCAACACTGTGAATTAACACCAACACTGGAAGTCAGTTTACTCAGTGTTAAAATAACACCAGGGGGAGTTAAATTGACTGTGAAAAGTTTAACACTGATATGTTAACACTGTTTTTTACTGTGAAGGTTTCAGACTCTACCAGCAGGGAAACACAAGTAAAATCAACCTTTATTCAGTGTCTGAAGTGAGGATCATGTCCTTCAAACCATCTGTAGTTTCTTTTGTTAAACAAGCGGAGACATTTTCCATCCATCACGTGGAATTCTGAATGCACTAAAACAAAATGTTGGATAATAACAACTCATTTTCGTTTTGCTCAAAGGTCGTGGCAGGACTGCAGTGTGGGATGCAGCTGGAGAGAAAAACGAGCTCAGATAAAAAGAGGCAACGGATGGAGCGCCCTAATGAGGAGTTACAGTCGTTACCAGCGAGACAAGAACATGAGATGGGTCAGTTCAGTTGGGTCCTAATTGGCTTACAAAACTGCCAGGATAACCTTGTTCCAATTATTCACACAAAGAACGATTGTTGTCCATTCACAGAAGCCACTGGGTCACATATGTCCTCAAAACAACAACAAACAACCGGATTCATGTTTGTGTGAAGGAGCACATATGGTATGGCCTGGCACCGCTCCGGTTACGTTTGGCACAGGAGGCTCTGAGAGGCAGAACTGAGTGATGCTGCTGGATAACGGCTTCGGTATGTTTATGGATGAACGGCTGGACCACCAAGTGTTGCATCATCGCCTGATGCTGCTGAGTTTCTGTTCTGTTCGTTTATGAAGATCTGGGGCCACCGGTATGGGATAAATCTTGTGCCAGCAGGAATTGAATCTGAACGTGAATAATTTGAAATTAAATGCATTGGTTTGAAAATAAATTTTACTAATTTGAAACTGAATTTAAAGTTTTGAACTTGAATTAGATTTTGAACTGTATTTTGGTTTATTAAAAATTCAGTTTGACTACTTTCACTTTCAGTTCCGTAATTCAGATTTTTGTGTCACATCCTGGTCCTTGAGAAAGCCAGGCAGAGTAATCAAACACAGATCCACAGATTTATGTTTCACTTTGGTGAAGTTTCCCTTCTGGATGTAACAGAGTTGATGCAATCCACTGTAAAAGTGACAAAAACAGACAGTTATTTTATTGCAGTGATTAATTTGACCTATATGTAGAAAATGTAAGATTTTCTGAGTGACCCATTTTATGAGTAAACTGACTTCCAGTGTTGGTGTTAATTCACAGTGTTGATTTCCTCATTGTTGTCTCAACACTGGACAGTGTTAAATAAGCTCCGCCCACTGTCTTATTATGACACCATGCAGTGTTGAAAGAAGCATTCTGAAAAGCCCCGCCCTCTTCCACCTCATGTCAGACAGACCAGTATTTTCACAGCAAGGAATGCTGGGTAATCTTGTAGAAATGATGTGTTTACATGTTTATGACTATTAAAGAAGTTCATGAGAGTAAAAATTAGTTGTTTTGTTCAATTTGATCAAGTTGTTCAAGTTTAAGTTTGTGTTTTTGGCCATAAATCGACACTGAGTGAGAGGTACTTCCTGGTGTGTGAAGGTCGACTCCATTACACTTATCCTGAAACTACTGTGTGAAGTTAATGCAACACTAAAAAGAGTTGATCTTAACACTGAAGTGTAAACTTACACTTTCAAATTTGCTGTGTAATGATACCTCATAGTGTCTGTTTTACACCCCTCTACACAGCAAAAGAGTAAAAAATCAACACAGTAGAGTGTCAAATTACACCTTCAGTGTTAACCATCAATAACTCAATGCAGTGTTGAAAACCATGAGCATCAGAACTGATTTGTCACCACAGTGGAGTACCTTATTAACTCTGCTTAGAGTCATAATTACTCTTATCAGAGTTATTTGACTTTAAGTGTTAAGTTTTATTAACACTGAACAGTAATAAACCAAAATACAGTTTCAAAGCAAATTAATTCAAATTCAAAACTTTAAATTCAATTTCAACTTAGTAAAATTCTTTTTCAAACCAATGCATTCAATTTCAAATTATGCACATTCAGATTCAATCTGAGCAATTCAAATTCAGTTCCTGCTGGCACAAGATTGATCCCATACACCAGCAATAGACTGTTGTCGCTTTAGTTATGAATAACCTTGAGAAACAACGTAACGGTCGAAGCAAGAAATTTGTGGTATGAAAAATAAAAAGATAGAAATATACGTCTTCCTCTACCAATCATGGATTTGGACCTGAAGTTGATTGACAGCAATGCAGGGCGAACTGCACAGGGCTTAAAAAAAGGCCAAATCTTCCAATAACAACTCCTTGAATAAACCTAAAATATGTCAAAAAAGCCTTTGTGACCTATAAAATGCAAATAATTACACTTCAGCATAGAAACATCTGACAAAAAAAAATCCATCAACCAAACACAGAAGCAGTAAGTTTTTGTGAAACCAACCCTAATACCTTCACCATGGGTGAAGAGTTAGTCTGCTTTTTGTAGCTAAAGATAAGAGCCAATGACATGTTTTCCCCCCATTCTGAAGCCCAGGTCAAAGTGTCCTTTCACTGATACAACTGTCTGACTTCAACTGGTCCTCTGACGCCAGCTGGTGCCGTTGTTATCACAGTTGAAATGATAAACACTTGTGATGTGTTTTCTCAAAGTGTTTAAATATTACTCTCTTTTTTTATCTTCAGGAGGCCTTCTAACCATCAAGCACTAACAGTTTGAACTCTGCAACATCTTTTCTGTGTGCTCTGATGAACCATCAGTCTGCTTTTACACTTTTTATAATCAGTACTTGATGTTCATTGCATTTGACACGCAATAGAACCCAACATCTGCTTTTTCTAAAAGCAAGTTGAAACATTTTTACTTGACCAACTTGTACTCAGAAACCTTTCGTCAAACCATCATCTGCTGGTCTTTTCCCTCGGTTAGTGTTTTTTTGTAGGTACAAGTAAATCTGCTCACTCTTGGTAGCATGAAAAGTACTCAGACCTTAAAGTATGGAGGATTATTATGGATAGCAACGAACTAGTTTGGTTTATAAGACAGTTTGAAAACTACATTTTAATGGTTTGGAGTAGGGATGCACGATATATCGGTATTGATATTGGTATTGACCAATATTGGCAATTTTTTAGCATATCGGTATCAGTCCGATATGTAAAACTGGGCCGATATTATTGTCCAATATTGATTTCCCACTTTTTATCTTTGTGTTTCTGTTTTGGGAGGGGAGCTGGTTGGTTGTGTGGTGTCCATTTGATCATGATAGTTATGATTACGCTGCGAAACCAGCAATAACTGAAGTATAGAGTCATGTCAGAGGTCTGGTTGTTTATTTACGTATCAAAAAAAGACCCAAGTGTGTTTGTGTGCATATGTATAATTTTGTGTGTTTGTGTAGAATCGGTAAATATCAGTTATCGTCCATAACAGCAATAATTATATACGAGATATCGATATTGGATGAAATTTTCCTATCGGTGCATCCCTAGTTTGGAGTGACGTCATTGATATTTCCAGTCCTAAAAAAGGGGAATGCCTAAACTTCACAACAACAAACGTTATACAAAAGTATTTCCCAGTGCTGTGGCAGCCGGTAGAGAAAAAAGATCCATTTTAAAGGAATTTTTAAGACAAGGGATTATTTCTGAAGACATATCTGCGATTTGAAGATATATTAGGGAGAATATACGCTAATTTAGTGTTAGTGAAGTTCACTAGATTGTCTTTATGGACTCATTTTTTATGCAAATCCAAGGCAAAAATCTATATTTTCATGTTTACTTTAGTTTTTTGTATTGTTTGTTTGTTTATTTTTTTTGGACTGCAACTCATTTTGTCAGCCTGCCTCCCAAATGTTTGACGCAGGATTAAGGTTCAACATATCTGAATCTTATACCGGTTTTCACATTTGAAAGATGCTGAATCCAAAACTGGTAAGTGTGACACAAAAAGTGCCATCATGTTTTCAAAGCTCCTAATAAAAAAATACAGTCAGTTTATTATTTAAATTGAAACATAAGACTCAAGGTGCCTGCGTTAAGGACACGACTGTTTGACAAACTGTCCTTGGATCATTTCTGAATCAAAGAGACAATAAAGAACTGACTTTTGTTCCACTTGACAACTTAAAAAAAGCTTAATTTTCAAAAAGTTACAGAATGAGTAGTAAACAATCAAAAGCTTCAATAAATGTCTTTTAGGTCAATAAAGACAGAATTGCTTAACAAAAAAGGAGAACAAATGGCCAAGAATTGAATTTAAAAACCTGCCTAAGCAGGCGGCTTACATCCTGTGACAGACACGGGGCAGAAAAACCGTGAACCCCAGCCGGCTCTTGTGTCGAGGGGCCCCGGTTCCTACAGAGAACTGAGACTGCTTCATAATGCTGAAACTGTGAGAGAGGCCCCCGTCATCGCGCTGCATGCTGAATAATGCATATTCCCACACAAATTAGTGTTTAATCGAATTAGCACATAACAAATATAGGTGAACTTTGGAATTCGAGGCCCCCCGGTGGGGGGGGGGGGGGGGGGTCACAGTCCTGCTTTTAGCCATCTGAACACAATGGGAAGTTTGCCTTTTGTTGGACGTTCTGGATGATTTCAAATTAAATCTATGAGGTTTCACTTTATTCAGTCTACTTTACTTTTGCAGCCCAGCCCCAAAACCAAATGTGCTCAAACAGAAGTGAGATAGAAATAATTACATCCATTCTCTGTTTAAAGACAAAAACTGAGCTTTATGATCAACCCGTAAAAAAAACCCTAATTTACACCCTAAATGTTTTTGCTGCAGCACCCAGCCTTGCTTTAATCCCACAGCTTGTCAGTCCCCCCCTCCCTCTGCAGGTTTAAGTTACCCCTGAAAAGCAGAAGGTCAACGTCTGAGGTCAGCGTCTCCTCCTCTCACTCCTCCAAAGACCAAAATAGTTTCTGCAAAACAAACCGAGACGTGGTGTTTGTCTATTTTCAACACGTACACTGAAATTCTTTAACTTAACTTAGTTTCAGGAAATTGTTTTGTGTGTAGCTGACTGCAGTGCTCAGAGCATGTGTTAAGATGTTAATCATTTCTGCTTTGCAAACTGAATATTAACGAACATCATGACATCTGATTTTACTTACAAAAGCTAGAATGCTTCAGCTCACGGCTGTCTCGCACGTTGGAAGGGTTTTAGTGAACACATCGTCCCGCCCACAAGTTTCCTGCCAGCTTTTCTTCTTCTTCAGGGTTTCTTAGGGTCCGACCAAAACAAGCAGCGTTTCAGGCTATCGGAGGATGGATGTCGGCCACGTGGGTTTGGCAGAGTCTTACAAGTTGAAGTTGACATTCCTTTCTTCGCCTTTCCTCCAGATTTACAGTAATTTGAAGCAAAAGGAGGACGACAACGGTAAATATTTGTAGCTTCTCGGTGGGGGCGATTTATTCTTCTTGCCTATTAAACGGGCCTTAGAGTCAACATGGCCTTTGACCTCCCAAAGAGACTATAAACTCCTCCCTCCTGAGCCGCGCTTCAACAGGTCTGCAGGAACAATAAAGCCGAGGCCTCTTTCACACTGAGGCCGTTGATCAGATTCTGCTCCCTCGAGGTTCCAGGCTCTGATGAGAGGACAGAGGAAACCGGGTCAGCGGAGTGTTGAGCATAGCAGACATATTTTAGATCAGCGCGATGCCAGACTGAGACTGAACACCAGTGTGCTGCACTGAGAGTTATCTGTGCGTCTTTGTGACTTTCCCCCGACTCGGCGCAAGCACGGAGGAGCACTAATCTAAACTCAAGTGCAAACATGAGGAAAGAGGCGAGCCGTTTGGACCGAACAGGAGGTCTGGCTGGCGAGTTGAAAGAATCGCTGCTTTGAATGAGCAAAAAAAAAAAAAGGTGCCTAGATTGTAGAGAGGCGGGTTGGAGCTGAGCAGAACTGAGCCCAGATGGGGTTACTGGGAAAAAGGCAGAGAGTGGGTGGGCTGAGGTTTTTGAGGGAATCGAGTCAACGGAGAAAGCTTTCTGACAGCTTTACTCTGTGGCCGACTGGGGTCTATATAAAGTATTCTTGATTGATTGCTGCCTGGCCAACTATACAAGAAGAACAAAATCCCCGTCTAGCTGCTTCAAGCTGGGTTTTTATGATGTGATGGTGATAAACGATGCAAGTTTAACCCTGACACACCTGTTAGTGTCCAACTCAATAAAATGTGCAAGTTCTTTCTGAAAAAATCTCCCATCTTCTGCAGCTTGTTGGGTCGTGGAGGCAACAGGTCTAGGAGGGAAACCCAGACACTCCTCTCCCCAGCAACACTACCCAGCTCTTCCTGGGGGACCCCAAGGTGTTCCCCAACCAGAGAAGATACATGCACCCCCCTCAGAAAAAAAAATCTCTTTGGATCTGGATGACATAAGCGACCTACAGGGGTTAGACAATGAAACTGAAACACCTGTCATTTTAGTGTGGGAGGTTTCATGGCTAAATTGGACCATTAATCTTCATTAATTGCACATTGCACCAGTAAGGGCAGAGTGTGAAGGTTCAATTAGCAGGGTAAGAGCACAGTTTGGCTCAAAATATTGCAATGCACACAACATTATGGGTGACATACCAGAGTTCAAAAGAGGACAAATTGTTGGTGCACGTCTTGCTGGTGCATCTGTGACCAAGACAGCCAGTCTTTGTGATGTATCAAGAGCCACGGTATCCAGGGTAATGTCAGCATATCACCAAGAAGGACCAACCACATCCAACAGGATTAACTGTGGACGCAAGAAGAAGCTGTCTGAAAGGGATGTTCTGGTGCTAACCCGGATTGTATCCAAAAAACATAAAACCACAGCAGAATTGAATGTGCTCCTCAACTCTCCTGTTTCCACCAGAACTGTGCGTCGGGAGCTCCACAGCGACAATATACACGGCCCGGCTGCTATAGCCAAACCTTTGGTCACTCGTGCCAAATGTTGGTTTCAGTGGTGCAAGGAGCACAAATCTTGGGCTGTGGACAATGTGAAACATGTACTGTTCTCTGATGAGTCCACCTTTATGGGAGAGTTATGGTGTGGAGAAGCCCCAAAGAAGCGTACCACCCAGACTGTTGCATGCCCAGAGTGAAGCACGGGGGTGGATCAGTGATGGTTTGGGCTGCCATATCATGGCATTCCCTTGGCCCAATACTTGAGCTAGATGAGCGTGTCACTGCCAAGGACTACCGAACCATTCTGGAGGACCATGTGCATCCAATGGTTCAAACATTGTATCCTGAAGGCAGTGCCATGTATCAGGATGACAATGCACCAATACACACAGCAAGACTGGTGAAAGATTGGTTTGATGAACATGAAAGTGAAGAAGAACATCTCCCATGCCCTGCACAGTCACCAGATCTAAATATTATTGAGCCACTTTGGGGTGTTCTGGAGGATCGAGTCAGGAAACGTTTTCCTCCACCAGCATCATGTAGTGACCTTGACACTATCCTGCAAGAAGAATGGCTTCAAATCCCTCTGACCACTGAGCAGGACTTGTACTGTATATGTCATTCTCAAGATGAATTGACGCTGTAAAGGAGGCCCTACACCATACTAATAAATGATTGTGATCTAAAACCAGGTGTTTCAGTTTCGTTGTCCAACCCCTGAATTTAGATTTGAAATTCGCCCAAAAGCGACAAATTTGCAGATTTGCCTCAAAAGAGAGACATCCAGTCGGAATCTTTATCAGATGCCAGAACCCCCTCGGTTGACCCCTTTCGATGCAAAGGAGAGGCTGAGCTCCTCACCTTATCTCTAAGGCTGAGCACCTTACGACGGAAGCTCATTTCGGCCTCTGGTATCATGGATTACGTTCCTTCTCTCATAATCCACGCCTCACAACGATAGTTTAGATTTGGAATGTAGACCGACCAGTAAATCGAGAGCGTTGCCTTTCGACTCAGCTCTTTCTTTACAACAGCTGACTGAAGTAACACCCTCATAACTTGGAATGCCTTGGGATCCCCCAGGAGGAAATGTAAAGTAGGTTTCTCTACTGGACCTGTTGTCCACGACCCAACTACAGATGGAAGCTGGAGAGTTGGATGCTACACATACAGATAGTTATCCATCACAAATAACATGAAGGTGGCAAAGTACTTTCAGTGTCATCAGAGACAATGTTGAGCTCTGTAAGGGATGGCACAGTCCTTACAGAGCTCTGGTATCAACATCATCCAGTGTGTCTGGGATTAGATGGAGACCCTGAAAGATCAGGACAGAAGGCCTTTGGTTTAGGTTTCTCGGATGTTTGGAACAACCCCCCTTCAGGGTTCCTTAAGTGTACAATTAATTTACAATAAATAATGAACTTTACAGTGTTTTCAACAATTGAGGCAGCTGTGGCAGAGCGGTTAGGGGAGTCGTCCTGGAACCGGAAGGTCACTGGTTCGATCCCTCATTCAAGCTGTCTCAGTTGTTGTGTCCTTGGGCAAGACACTTCACCCCTAATGCCTCTGATGTGTCCCATCAGTGTATGAATGTGATTGGCACCGATTAGTCTCCATAATGATTGTACATGTTAGCTTTGTAGGAGATCTGGTAGAGTGCCGTGTGAATGGGTAAATGAGGACACAGATTGTAGTGTGAAGAGCTTTGAGTGTCCTGGTTGAGTAAAAAAGGCGCTATATAAGTACAGTCCATTTACCATTCGTACTGTACTGCACGCTCACAAAGAAGCACATACGAACACAACTGGGAATTAAGGGAAAGGAAAAATATGTGTATGTGTGTTGCAGACTAATTTGAATGTGTGTGGGAATTAAAAGGTCAGTAAAGGTTTATGTGCTCAGCGTCTTTGTCACTGTTTGCCTCTCAGACTTCAAAACCTCCTGTTTTTTTGTTTTTAGTGGTTTAGCTTTCTAAGGCCACCCTGGCAGGGATCACATCTCTCTTTCAGTTTCTTCTGCCCCTTCTCTCCGTCAAACACACACACACACACACACACACACACACACACACACACACACACACGCACACACACGCACACACACGCACACACATGCGTTATTTATAACAGGGTGGGGGAAAAGGCAGCCTGGCCTTGGAGCGCCTATTTTGGGAGGTTCAACCTTCAATCACTGGGGCTGACAGCTTCTCTGTGATACCACGAGAACAATACAGAGCTGAATGTTTATCTGCCTCTGCTCGGCCTCCCGCCTGGGTCAACGTCACCCTGCCTCCCACCAGGAAAACAGGACTTCCAGGACAACAGTGGTCCCAAAGAAACCATTTGTGTAGCCACAGACAGTTTGGCCTCAGATCTGACATGTTTGTCTGTAAGTTTATCACTTTGGTTTCTTCAAGACTTTTCAGTCCTCATCCCAGACATTTTAAATCCAATCCAGTTTGAACCAAACTAGCAGATAAGGGTTTTCTTCAAAATTTGTCGTGACTCGTTTAACTCTTTGTCTGCATTAGTTGCAAATTAAAAAACAGAACTTTTAAAACCATTAAAGATTTTCTATTTTAGCATCTTCTGGTATGTTTTTATTATAACATAAAAAGGAATGCATTAAGGTTGAATGGAAGGTAGAAACATTCATCCATCCATCCATCGGTAAATTTGGGTCTATTCATACATCCAACCATTTAATGGTTGAATATATGAATATGTATGTAGAGGTCTTTCTTCTATGTTTATACTAAAGCATGGAATGGCATTCCTCAAAACATAAAGTCCATTTCAAAACTACAGCCCTTTAAGAAGAATCTTGTCTGCCATCTGCTGGACACTTTTTGTTGTGCTCATATTTAGACGTCCTATTTTGCAAATGCTGCCTTTTTGAAATTTGGTATGCTTGTTTGTCTTTGTGTCTATGGTGTATAATGATGTGATTGTGATGCTGTAATTCTGAGTGTTTTATGTGCTGCAGAACAGGAACCTGCTGTAAAACAGCAATTATGCTGAGTCAGGCTTGATTTTTTAATAAATTTTTCCTGTTAAATAAACAAATCAAAATCAATCAAATCAATGAAAGCTGAGGTCCATCCATCTATTCATTCATCCATCCATCCGTAAATTTGGGTCTATTCATACATCTAACCATACAATGAAAGCTGAGGTCCATCCATCCATCCATCCATCCATTGGTAAATTTGGGGTCCATTCATACATCCAACCATTCATCCATTCAAAGTTTGGATCTCTCAATCCATCCACCGACCCATATAATTTGTGTTATTGTGTTGCCACTAAAAACTTGAAAACTATTTGTTGGATCTGGTTTCTCATCTGTGACAATTTAATGTCTTTCTTTACAAGTTAGTAGTAAGTCTGTGAGAGTTGATCAGACAAGCAGGGTGTGTAAAGATAGTTCTGTCACAATTACACTAAACATTTTTCACAGTTTTCTGATATTATTGTCACAGTTTGTAGGCACCGGACCCAGGAATGCAGAAAAACAAGAGCTCGGAAAATAAATCTAAAATAATAAGACAAGCAAATAAACTGATGTGGCAGCAAATACTTACAAAAACTACTTGAGGAAGAAATCCAGAATACAGGCATAAAGCACCCACAGTGCCACACTAGAGATGGAGTAAGAACTGAGGGTAGAGAAAGGCTGGGACTGATGAGGTGAGTGGCTGCAGCTGAGATTAATAACAATGGAGAACAGGTGTAGGGGGGCGTAGAATGAGCAGAAACTGATGGCACAGGGAAAACTGGGGAAAATAAATACAAAAAGCTACTAAACAAACCAACTCTGACCAAGTTCTGATTATTTTTCACTAAACCTGAAAACTAAGAAATGCCCTTCAACTCTTAGAAGTGTTCTGTTTATTTTCAGATTTTCCAACCTTTTTAGCCATTCTGGATTAATTCTCTAACTTTCTTCAATGGATCAAATCTGTTTTGAAGACTGACGTCATCCAGTTATTTTTTTCATGAAAAGTCCCTTTGGCTAAAAATAATTTCCTATGAACTTTGTGTGACTTCTCTCTGGTTGAATGAGAGTGTTTTTGTGTGTGTGTGTGTGTGTGGATAATGAGTGTGGGGACACTGGGGAAATGAGGAGTGAGAAGGGAGGCTCAAAGTGTTATCTGTAAGGATTTGAAGACTGTTTACTGGAGTTAAATGGTGTGTGTCATCACTACGCAACTACTGTGTAATGTTGGCTGCTGGTTGTGTGTCTGGGTGGTTTTCTTTAGCTCCACATTCTGGACAAAACCAACAAGAAAGAAAGAAAAAGCTCAGTCTCACAGCAAAACTATAAAAGAAGATGAAACATTAAAGCTCAGCAAAAAAAAAAGTTATCAGTCAACAAGTTGATAGTTTGAAAAACATCTTTGAAAAGTGCTTTTTTCAGTTTTATCAGATTCTGAATATAAATTCTCCTTTGAGCAAACAAAACACAAGAACATTTTTCATTATTAGTTTCTAATTAGAAACATTTTGGAATTTTATGCAACAGAAAAAAATTAAGTGAATTTTGTTTGTTCTGACAGAAAAAACATCTAAAAATATGCATTTTGCTCCCAGTTTGTGGATTATTAGTTGTAACAAAACTAAAAGACCGATTTGAGTCACATAAATCATATGCACATTAAACCACCCGTCGTGCACATTAAACCACCCCTCGTGCACATTAAACCACCTCTCGTGCACATTAAACCACCCGTCGTGCACATTAAACCACCCGTCGTGCACATTAAACCACCCCTCGTGCACATTAAACCACCTCTCATGCACATTAAACCACCTCTCGTGCACATTAATCCACCTGTCGTGCACATTAAACCACCCCTCGTGCACATTAAATCACCCCTCGTGCACATTAAACCACCTCTCGTGCACATTAAACCACCTCTCGTGCACATTAAATCACCCCTCGTGCACATTAAACCACCTCTCGTGCACATTAAACCACCTCTCGTGCACATTAAACCACCCCTCGTGCACATTAAACCAGTAACCCCTCCACCTGTTTGAGATCTCTGATGACGAGGATGCTTTTATCCCATCGAGTCTCGTTTTTTTGTTCCTGTCGGAGCAGAAACCTCCCTCTTTGCCTCGGTGTCACTGTTGTGACTGATGTCTTTTCCATCCTGCTGCCCGCTCATTAAAAAAGGGAAAAATTTCAAATCCCTTCGACCTTTACCTTGACTTTTCTGTTTCCACTAAACACACACGAAAAACACACAACTGCTACCTTTTCCTATTTTAGTCAAATCCCTCTCCGTGCCCTCCCTTCCTAACAGACTTTTAAAGGTATGTCTGGTTTTCTGCTCTCACGTGATAAACCTATAAAAGCCGAGGGTTTGCATACTTATGGAAGGGATTTTGGTGGACTAACTGCAGCTGAGTACTTATTTTAGTCTGATAAGTATCTTTAAATAGCCTTAAATCTGTCAGCAAGTTCCATTAAAGAACAAATCAGCAAAAACTTCAGTAAATCATGTCATTTTATTATATTTGCTAACATTTACATCCGTAAAAAAAAAGTACATTTGTTTATCAGAACTCGTCCAGGTTGCTCCTGGTGTCACGTAGATGTTTTAGAGATGCGAGCACCTCCTCCGTCGGCCTCATGCCCACTTGTTTATTTCCTCTGGTCCTGACATTCACCGTCCCACTTTCACGCTCCTTATCACCCACCACTATGAAAATAAATAAATAAATCAAGCAGCTAAACATGCTAACATCAGTATCAGTGAGGTACAAACACGATGTGGTGCATTAACGGGAAGAGAGAGGCTTGAGTTTTCCGTCTTTACCAAATATGTAGTTGTATTGAGCCAACGTAGCCGAGCGAATCTTCTTATTTAAGGTGGAACTCTGATCGTCGTTCATATCAACCATGAAGCCGGCTTCACGGAACTGCTGCACCACCTTAAGAGGAGACAAAATGGTGAAAAATGTAAGATTTTATCAGTAAAGTGCGTCTAATATCAACAAATTAATCATGTTAGGGAGGAATACACAAAGTACAGGTTGGCAGATTTCCAGCTGAGACTGACCTGCCTGCTGTATGACTCATTGCTGCCCCCTACAGGAATCACCATCACCTGCGCTGGAGACAACCACAGCGGCCTGGTTTGGGTTAAAATAAATAAATAAATAAGGTTACCAGTTAAGAGAACAGACAGTGACATCGTACAGCTTCAGTTTTCACCATTTTCCTGCAAAGTTTTCAGCCAGTATGGCGATCATTCTCTCCAGGGATCCCAGGACAGCTCTGTGGATCATCACTGGTCTGCACAACTCACTGTCTGGGCTGACGGGGAAGTTGTAAAAAAATAAAAAGGTTTAAACAAACATAAACAAGTTGCAACATGATGTTTCTCCTGAGGGACAGGGTGAGGACTTGTTCAGGGTTCTGCTTCAATCCATGTGTGGTTTGTTCTTTGTTTCAAAATAAAATCACAAAAAGAAAACAAAAATGTTATTTTTTTGGTTTTCTGTTTGTAAAACCTAAATGTAAAAATGTGTAATCAAACTGGGAAAATCCAGCGTTTGATTTCTGGTTCTGCTATCTGAATACGAGATGGAATAAAGGGTTGTTGTTTTAATACGTAACAATTAGGGCTGCAACGATACAGGAAATTAACGATTCAGTTCGGTTCGATACTTTAGTCTCACGGTTCGATATTTTTTTGATACAAAAAAGAGAAATGTCCATGTTCTTTTAACTTGTAATTTATTTATATTAATTATGAACATTTGTTGCTGAAACAGCAAGTTTCTCAGTGGATCTGAGCTCAAAAATACAGCCTAGGTTGAGTAGTCGAACACAGATCCACTGATCCTTCAACACAGAGCATCTTCAGAAGACAAGTTGATAAAATAAATTTTAAAATCTGTATTGTTCCATACAAGTGTGTATTGAACCTAAAGCAGTGTTTGATACGGTTACATGTATTGTTGCACCCCTAATAATAATATATAATGAGACACGACTCCAAAATATCCCTGGTGAAAAGTAAAAATGTGAAGCTCCAGGAGTTCAGGACAGAATTTCTGATGTTGCCAGAAGATTATAAATGGTGCACTAACAAAATAAGAAGCTTATCTTTGCTTTACCATTAAAATTAAAAACATAGTGTTTATAAAAGTTTTGCAAATGTCATTTTTGTAATTTAGTTTTTTCTCGCTTTATTTTGAAATGAAAAACCAAAAGAAGTTGTGCTGTTTTTTTTAACCCGAACAATCCCTGAACTTCACCCTTAAATGTGAGTTAATCAGAAACGAGAGCAGCTGCACGAACAGCTGCAGGTTTCCAGCAGCACAGCTGGAGGAGTGTTTCAGGCAGCAGCAGTTCTGAACGACTCACCTGACGTACCGCAGGTCGAATCGGATCGGCAGCTGAAAGTCCAGCTGGATTGTGGCGCACTGGTGCTGCCGGCCGATTGCATCTTTAATCAGGATGTCGATCTGAAAGCAGAAAACAGCCGGTCACTGAGAACCACTTCTGCTTTCCAGTTAACATAAACACACCTGCTGTCCCAGCTCTACTTCAGGAAATATCTGTGGACAGAAAATGTAACAAACTTGATGTTTCTGGGAGAAGTTTGACTTAAAACTCTGATAGTGTATTAGTTTGTACACAAACAAATCATGTCACACTCCAGCAGGACAGAATCATTCAAATAAAAGGACTGTACTTAAGAAGTATTTGTATTTCATGAATTATATTCTTACATTTGGCCGCAGCCCTCAGATAGATTTTCATTTTGGGGAAAAGCTTTGTGCAGCCTTGATATATGTATATAAACTGAAACAGCTGGACTAGTGCATCCTAAATTTAACATCCATTCATTCTTTTAATACAACAGTCATTTCTGCAGTTTTTGGGGAGGTCACCTCCTAATAAATGTCCTTACAGAAAATCTAACTGCTCATTTTAAATCCTTACTTTGACTTTTAATACTTAACTACAACAAATATCACATACTTTAAGACTTTTACTCAAGTAATATTCCTAAAGGTGACTTTAACTTTTACCAAAGTCATTTTTTGGTAAGATACTTGTACTTTTAAAATGGTAAAATGATAAATGGTACTGAACTTATAGAGCACTTTTCGAGCCCCTCCGGACCCCAAAGCTCTTTACACTAACAGACATTCACACACTGATGATGGCAAACTACACTGTAGCCACAGCTGCCCTGGGGCACACTGACAGAGGTTTTACTCAATTATCACTTTGTGGTACTTTATACAACACTGTTTTTTTACTGTGATGCTTCACTGATAAACTGACTTTAGAAAAAAATAAATTACTAATTACTAATCAACGTATCGTTTTTAACTGATTGATTTAAAGACTCAACCTGTTATTTTGTTAAAGACTGAAACCAGGGCTTATTTTTAATTTCAGATTTTACCAGCAACACGTTAATTTATCAGATTGTGACTGGACGTGTTTCCAAACTATTTGTATTCGAATATTGAGCAAGTTTTTTAAAATTTCGCAAAAAGGAAAAAACTAAGAAATGTGAATCAGACGTGTTTCCATCAACTGGCTTGAAGTGAATCAGTTACGTCAGATGCATGGGTGTAGTAAACAGGAAGTTGTAAACTCACAGGGTCCACACATCTCAGGACCATGGACAGAAGTTATCAGAAACGTAATTATTCTGTTATCAACTAGTTCTGGTGATGTTCCTGCTGTCTGCAGACATTCAGACAGAAACGTGATTCTCTTCACGTTACAGGAATAACTGAGCAGACGCTGACAGCCGGAGGAGGGTCCTGCTGCAGTCGCTCTGGTACCGTTCAGTGAGAACAGATCAACATGTGAGGGAAATGTTCACTACGTCAGAACTTATTCAGCAAATGTGTTTCCATCTCTCCTTTTGAGCTTTAACTTTTTCTAAAACACCAAAAACTCAAGCGAGCGTATCAACTTTTTTGAGAATTAGACAAAGTTTTTTCGAATCGTGTCGCTTCCATTCACCTTTTCTGACGCCAGACTTCAAAATGTGCATTAAAAAACCTTGATGGAAACATGGCTAGTGACAGCATGAATAAAATCATTATGCCACACGTGTAAAACCTCAGATTCATTTGATCTCATTTCCTGAACTCAGTTTGTTGTTCCTGCAACTGTTCAAAGAAACCAGCTGAAACTGAACTCTTGTGACAAGATAATCTCATAACAAAACCCTGAGTAAAACCACAGCCTAGCTTTTAGCTGCATCTGTCAAATTAACTTAATTATGCAGTCGGTCCCAAAACCTGCAGCAATTTATTGTTTGTGTGCAGTAAACAAAATACTACAAAATGTATTTTTAAATGTTTCGCCAACAAAAACTGAATTAAAAAATAAAGAAAACAAACAAAAGAGTCTGTAAATGTTTTTGACTAAATCTTTTTATCTGCAGTGGCTCTATGTGGTGCATCTACGTGGTGCATCTACGTGGTGCATCTATGTGGTGTATCTATGGGGTGCATCTATGTGGTGTCTCTATGTGGTGTATCTATGTGGTGTATCTATGTGGTGTATCTATGTGGTGTATCTATGTGGTGTATCTATGTGGTGTATCTATGGTTTTGACTGCTGTTACTAAACATTGATGGGCACAGGTCCACTAACTCACCAATAGCAGAACTAGCTTCTCGTTTAACAGGTTAGAATTCTTTTATATAACTTTGGGAACTGTTAGCAGACCAAAATAAAATAAAATGTGCTTATATTTTTCTGCCATTTATCCCAAATTAAATAAAAACTATCCCCTCTTACAAACAGTGCCGGTCGTGTCAGGCACCATGTGCAGCATGTAACATCTTTAGCAGCTAAACTACAAACTAAGAGTGTCAAAAAGAAAATAGGACCAAAATATAAAGTCAAAGAAATGCTTTTACTCTGAAAGGGAATATTATTCGTGGGGATGTTATTGTAGAAATGATTCTGGTCCTGCATGTTTTCCTGGTTTCTCTGCTCCAGCACACCTGATCTGAATGAATGAGAGATTTTCAGGCCTCTGCAGAACTTGAAGAGGTGATTCACTGACTGCATCAGGTGTGTTGGAGCAGGAGAAACTAAAACCTGCAGGACTGCGGCCCTCCAGGACCAGGACTGCCCACCCCTGGTACCAGGGCATCTAATTTCTGTCAGTTTAGCGTTAGCGGAGCTAAGATTAGTCATTAGTGAAGCTAACGTTTTAGTTAGCTGTGCCCAAAACTGACTAAAGAGTTTTTAAAATCAGTTTTAGTAAACGGTTCTCCTCCGACTCACCTTTGGGCCGTAGAAAGCTCCGTCACCGGGGTTTAGCTCCCAACGTTCACCGAACTGCTCTAGACCCCTTGTTAACTGCTGCTCAAAAACACACACACGCACACACACACACACACACACACACACAC